CGACCTACCGACCTACCTACCTACCCACACACCGACCTACCTACCGACCGACCTACCTACCTACCTACCTCCCTCCCTACCTACCTACCGACCTACTGACCTGCCGACCTACCGACCTACCGACCTACTTACCTACCTATCTATCTATCTATCTATCTACCTATCTACCTATCTACCTATCTACCTACCTATCTACCTATCTATCTACCTATCTATCTATCTATCTATCTATCTATCGGTATACATATATACATACACACACGCACATGTTATGCTCGTACATGCTTTGCATTGGAACATATGTTTATCTACTGTACATTGCATATTAGCTTATGTTTGTGCTGCAATAACTTTCCCATCCGCCAGACCCCACGCATTCCGAAACCACGGAGGGAAGCACTCTCGCTGTGGTGCTGCTCTGTGTATGCGGCAGCCAGTTTTTCGGCGCCTACATTCCCAAGGCCCCCTGCTTCAGGCTTCGAGGGCGCTCAGGAGCTTAAGCGGAAGCTTCGGGGTGTAAGGCATGGACTTTCTAGAGGTTCTTAGCATCGAAGCGGTCTGCGTTTCCATACTCTGCGCTGCGTCCCTTGAGCTCCAGACATGGACAGATTCAGTTTCTCACGTGCGGGAGGCTCAGGGCGACACGATCAGCGCTATGACTAGGTTTTCGGATGCAGCTCGGAACGCACAGTTGAAGCCACAATCATTTATACGCATGCTCCTTGAGGCTGCGGAACTCTTTGCGCTGTGGGGAGAGGGCGGCCTACAATCCTGACGTGAAACATAGCAAAACCAAATGCCTAAGACCCTAACCGCTTAACCCCAACCCCGAAACCAATCCTAAAACTTAAAACGGTACCATACCATAGCATGCTCCAACATGAAGTGCAGCCCGTTTCGCCCTTTTCTCTCGCTGGATCAGCAACAGAGAACCTCTTTCGCTTCCATCTCGTGCCAGTCAGAAGTGGTGCCGTTTGTTTGCAGCCTTCGGGGTTGACAGACTGATGGGCAGATGGAGCGACAGATAGAGTTGAGTTGTAGAATTGTGTTGCACTTTGTTGTTGCATACTGACATCGGCCGTGACATTTTCGGATTCCCAGGAAGAATTCGATCAGCGCATCCTGGAGTTCGCCTTGCTGGTGGTGGCCAACGCTCTCATGTCCTGCGCGATGAGCATCGCAATTCAGATGCCCGCCTCTACATTGGGCCCAAAGTATGTCGGGGTTTTGAATTTCGGTTTCAGAGTCTAGGCAGGGTTTAGGATCTGGGAGGCCTGGACCAGGGTCTGCAAAAGATTGCCTTTGCCAACTTGGAGTCTAGGTTGTGGCCCTTCAGGTTCTGAAGGCCCCACGCTACTTGTGGACTCTCCGATCCCTGCTCCCAAAACCCCTTTGAGTACCGACCTTTTCCTGTTCGACTCTTGGAAAGGCTGGGGCCTTTGGGGTGTGCGGGACTCTTCAGAAGTGGGCTGAGAGCATGTCATGGGCTCTTCTTCCGATTGGTGACGCAGACGGTGATGGCAATGGTTGTGCTGATGTCGATGCTGATGCCTTCAAACCCTCCCAGAAAACCTTGGGACAGCAAGGAGCCTCCAGACCAGAATGTCAGCCAACATGTCCGTGAAGCTCTTTGGAGCACTGCTGCGACAGGACAGCGGAGACCAGATTTTGAATTTTGGCTCTGTTGGGCAGATCCGGGAGTGACTTGAGACTGTTTTTGCCAATGCTCACCTGCACGATGCTTGAGCAGGATGTGGCCTTCTACGACAATGCAGCTGTGCTGCAAGGGTATTCCTTTAGAGCTGCAGGGCTTTGGTGCTTTTGGTGTCTTTCTGGACTCTGCAGGGTCTGCTGCAGCTTCCAGGCGATGACTGGCCAACTGAGCTCGCGCCTGAACAATGACATGCGGCAGGCCTTGTCACCCGCAACTCTCCGGCAGCTGGATCTAGGATCGCCGCCAAGTGGCTTCTAAGCTGCCCGTCCCGATGAAGCGAATAAAACTAACTGCCGCTCCCCAAGCCTGCAAGGTAAGCATCATCATGAATTCTTTTGTGGCCAACATCGCCACTTGGATGGCACGGAGAGCTGAGAGCCTTAAAGGATGCTGTGTATCAGCACGAGCAAAGTGGTGGCCCCACAGAAGCCCAAGAATCGTGAAACGCCATAGTCATAGTCAGAATCGTTCCTCCTCAACCCGAAAACCTTAAACCCTCAACCCTAAACCCGCAGCCTAGAAACGCACAAAAACCCGGAGGTCATGCTCGCCGTGGGCTTCGGCATCTGCCTTCAGTCGTCCTGGAGGCTCACGGTGCTCGCATTCACCGTGCTCACGCCGGTAGCTCGCTCCCCAGCTTCTCCCAAAGAGAGCGCAGGGTCCCAGGAGCAGCGTGAACCACGAAACCCCAAACCCCCAAACCCTAAAACAACCCTTAAACCATAAACCCCCAAAGCCTCAAACCCGGAAACCTGGACCATCCCAAACCCCCCCCCAAAGCCCCAAAACCCCAACCTTCCGTGGATCCTTGGCTTTTGAGGTTCACATCTCCGCCGAGTTTAGCCAGTGGGCCTCGAAGCTGATGATGTCCCAGTGACGCGCCCGCACCGTTGTGGATTTTTTTGTTTTTGGGTTTAGGGTTTAGGGATATTTAGGATTCGATACAATAGCGTGCGCCAATCCAGTATGAGAGCCGTGATGGACGCATGAATATAACAAGCTGTGCCACAGAATACCGAAAGCACCTAAGGCAAGGGCAGAAGCTTGAGTTAAGACGTCATGTTTCATGATCACATGCCCTGAGTGTTCTCATTTACCATCAAGGGTGCTTTTTCATTCTCATGCATGGTTGTACTGTACTATCTTTATAGTTACGCAGGCTGTCATGGACCATTGGAGACCAACCCCAGGACATCATGCTTATGCATCGTAGCAGGCTGCATGGCGCAGGCTGCTCTATGCGAATCGAACGGACTTCTGCTATAGCATGCGCTGCACTGTCGCATGTGGGTGAAACATGTTAACGAAGTCTGCGTCTGTGATACTCTACAGGCAGTCTTCACGCAAAACCTGACGCATCCATTGAGAACCTGCATTGTGCCGTAGAGCAGTTTCCAGATTCCACCTCGCAGACAGCGAGCCGCAAATTTCACCTAACCCGGCAGTGGAATCTTGTGGCTATAACACGCCGCCTCCACCCCTGAACCTTGCGCTGAAGCTTGCGCGGAAGGTGGACCTACATGGCTGATGCATCAGGCGCTGCGACACAGGCTCTCACAAACATCCGCACGGTCCGAATGTGGCTAAGCTTGGTCTGGCATTGGCGGGGTCCGCGTTTGACGATTGCGTGTCTGTTCATGACCAAAGGGTTATTTTATGGGGTTCGTGCAGGCTTATGGCTAGTTTTGATTTGTGACTACTATTTTGTTATTACCAGTATTACCATTATATTATTATTGCTATTGTCAAAACTAGATCACTGCCGTTATAGCTGCCAGTATCCTTATTGTTGTTATTGTTAGATCAGTATTAATCCCAGTATTATTTATTACTACTACTACTACTATTACTGTTATTGCTGTTGTTCGTATTTTTGATTATCAGTATGACGATAACGACTTTGATTCTGATTCTGATTTTGGATTATGATGATGGTTAGGCAGCCCGTGGCTTGAGGATATTGCGCAGCCCGGAGCAGATCGGTCTCTAAGCAAAGGTCGGTCGTGGCGAGACTGAGGCAGTTTGCCCAAACTTCCAGCCTCGATTGTTGGGCACCATGCTGTGGAGCACATTCGAATGTTACATGGGTCACAGCTTCAGGTTTGGAGCACGGGACATCGAGATGGAGAAATACGCTCCTTGGCTTGTGGCGCTTGAAGTTCCCAGGACCCGATGCAGTGGAATCATGGGGCAGGATCATAAGTTTCCGACGTGATTGTGCTGGACAGTCATGAGACGCTCATATTTCCCGCTCAGCTTCGGCTTCAGGGTTTGGGCAGTTCGTAGTGGCGCCTAACAGGGGCCTGCCCTGTGGGAGGCTGTTGATGTCCTCTGTCCTCTCGAAAGTATGCTATCCCAACAACCAAGGCAGGGCACATCAACAAGTCGAAGGATGTAGGCTGGTCACCCAGAAGTTTCAACACTCAGTGAGATCATGCGAGCTGTTGATCGAAGGGTGTGCTTTGTGCAAGCCTTCGTTATCTTCGAAGTAGGCCCGTTGAAATTGTGGGATTCATGATGATGTGGCTGCCTGTTATATAGATGTGACGGACAGGGTAGGATGACAGCAGCATTGCTTCTCGGGCTGCATCTGAGGGACTGCAATCCGAGGCCTTCTATCAGCATGGGGACAGGGTGCAGCCGGGCTGATTGCGGCGCTGGTCCAGCAGGGCGCCTCTTTCATCATCCTGTTTCCCCGACCAGAAATGGCAGTTTTTGTTGTCATCAGCATGGTCCTAATACGATGACAATGATAACCCTAAGCCCTAAAAACAAAACCCTAAACTTAGCCGCTAAGCTGCTAGCACGGAGCACGGAGAGCCCGGCCCCGAGCTACGGCCACGAAGATGCATCCTAAGCGTTTCGAGCGCGGCCTGCCGGAGAGTAGGGGGAAGTGACTCTCATCCCTTTTTGGCCTTTTGGGGATCCATAAAGGGATCCCTAAAGGTTTAGGGTTTAGGGCTCTTCTCAGGTCCTTGGGGATGCCCCGCTAGTCTGGGCGATCCCACACACCCACCATCGCAGATCACTGAAGTCCTCGCTTAGGAAACGGTGAAGTGGAAGCGCTGTCCAATCCTTGTGGCCAGAATATGAAAGCTACCACAACAGGCATGGTGCATCATACTACTCGTTCCACTGTACTTCCAGAATGGTCCCCTAGCCCCTAAACCCTAAACCGTCAGTTCAAGGCAATAACGGCGAGAGCATTTGCCTTGCAAGGCCCTGACGGCAAAAAGGTTGAAGGCCCTAGCACCCCGAGTCAGGGCAATCTGTTGTGGGTTTAGGGTTTAGGGTTCACGTAACATACTATAGTATAGTATGTTATACTATATTTCAGTATATGTTGTAAATGAGGGTTTCTTTTGCAGGGAGGGGTCCCACCCTCTGCGAGGGCCTCCTTCTGCACGAGCTTCACACGACAAAACATGTATCTCCCAAACCCGACAGTCTTAAACTTCAGGTATCCTAAACCCGTACCTCGAAGTTTTCGAACCCCAAACTCAACCCCATACCCCGAACTTTTCCTGAATCCTAAACACTGCATCCTGAACCCTTCACCCTAAACCCTACAACCGAGATCTCAACCACGAAGGTTCTACGGCGGGCACCTGGCCCTGAAGCACGAATTCGAGGCCAGGCGGCTGAGTCCAAACAGCGGGAACTTCAAGAGATTCGGGGCGGTTTGGGGTTTTAGGGTTTTAGGGTTTGGGGTTTTAGGGTTTAGGGTTTTAGGGTTTGGGGAACAACACCGCGGAAGATCGGGGACATGTGCCACAAACCCAAAACCCTAAACCCTAAACCCCTAAACCCTAAACCCGAAACACGAAGCACCATGGGCTTTCTCCCGAAGCCCTGGAACCTTTCCGGCCCTACCGTTGGGCGACTCCAAGAGAGTACACCAAAAGCAGCAAGGGCCTAAGCCTGGAGCCCAAAGCCTAAACCCTAAAACCCCGACAGCCTAAACCCCAAACACCCCAGACTTCCCCCTAAACCCTAAACCGAGGTCGGCTCCATCATCACCTTCACCGTCCTCTGGAATCGGCCCTTTGGCAGGTCTTTAAAGGACGCTTTCCTGGGGTTCAGGGTTACAGGCCCTCGGGTAGAAGATTTTGGGCTTAGCTTCAGTTAAGACTAGATTGCGAGGAAGAGCTTGCATGGTCATGACACATGTAGGGTTGGCGGGTTGACATGACCTGCGATGGGTGGAGATCTTCCGCAGGTGCATGCGGCGTGGAGTTATCACTGGCCGGCAGATGTCGCTGTATTGTGAGTTTGCAGTAGAGTATGGCCTTAGAGCTCTAAACCCTGAACTCTAGGGCTGTGGGGCTTGAGTGCCTTTGGGACTCTATGGAGTTTCGGTTTTTGGGGTTCAAGCAAGGTACTGCCTGGCCTAGCCTGCCTGTTGCAGGCTTTGCTGTGACAAGGCTTTCCACAAAATCGGCGTTTGGTGTGTATGGCTTGGATAGGATGGCGAGGGTGTGGGATTTAGACGGAAGCCTCGTCTCCAAACCTCTGACAATCCCCTCCCTCCCCGCTCCCGAAGATAATCCGAGGCTCAGTTCTGCCTTCACATCTTTGAATGAGAACATCAACCAGCCGGTGAAGGCCGTCAGTGCCTTGGCTTCGACAGACCGGGGTCCTAAGCCTCGCACAGGTTACTTGTGTGCTTGCTTTAATTGTAAGAATCATAGTATTCATAATCGTAGTCAGTCAGTAGTCAGTAGTCATAATAACAACAATAACAATAAGGCTATTATCAATGCTCACGATAGCAGCAATCGTAATCATCACCTTTGAACTACTTCTGCTGTTTCGGAGAGCTATCTTTGAGATCTCTGAGATGCACGCTCAGGGCGCTTCATGCCATCTCGTGCCACAGAAAAGCAGACGGTCTCAAAACCCGAAAAAGTTGCAGACGGCTGAATAGGTAGGTGGGCTAGGTGGGTGGTTGAGGTGCCGGGCAGCGAGTCTTTGAGATCCTGGACCTGGAGCCAGACATTCCGGAGGAGCTCCAAGACCTTGCAGCACGAAGGTCCGGTGAGGTTTAGGACTTTCGTCGCGCCGTTTCTGGCTTCTGCTCTCTGGGTAGTCGCTGCCGCAATTTCCGACTGAATCCCGAGTTTCGGGGGGCCCTTTGCTGGCATCTGAATCTGTGAAGCACCTGAGGAGGAAGGCGAGGCTTTCCCTGAGGAGTCGAAGCAGGCCCAACACCAGCATGGAGCTGATATATATATATATACACGTGTATATATATATATATGTAATAAAAATAATAATAATAATTACTATTACTATGATCATTATTGTTATTATCATTCCTGTAAATGCACATGGTTGTAATTCATCGAGTGCAGTCGGCCCCCCCATCACCCATTCATGGCCATGAGCACGGCTCCTGTACATTATGCTGCTGTGAGGTGGGCATCCGTTTCGAGAACGTGGAGTACGCGTACCTGTCAAGACCGGACAAGAAGGCCCCTGCGGATCATCGTCATTCATCATCATCATCATCAGCACCATCCTCCTCATCATCATGCCAATCGGCATCGCCAGAATGCTACCACGGACAACACCGGACACCATGTGAGCAAGATGTGAAGAAAGTTCGCATCTTGTGAGCCGCCAAAGAAACAACCATACTGCGGCAATCAGAAATGCACTACTAACCATGTTCCTGCTTCTGTCAGGTCCTGGCTGGTGTGACCCTGGATATACGAGCGGGAAAGACAACAGCAGTTGTCGGCAAGAGTGGGTGTGGAAAGTCCACCCTAAGCGGCCCGGCTGAGTTCTTCTTAACTTTATGCCCACGTAGTATAGCTATCAGTCTCAAGGTTGCTGACATTCTTTCATAATCATGTAATGGTCCAGCTGGAAGACAAGACTTGAGCGGGCTCACATCACCGCGAGCATCGGGACTAGTATTGTCACCACCGCCTGTTGGAATCTGATTAACTTCGACACTACCGTGAACTACCGTCTGCGACTTTCCGGCCAGCTTGCTACAATGACAGCGGATTTGAAGCCCCTTTCCAGGCTGCAGGATGATTCAAAAAGCCGCCGGCCCAGGCAAGCTGGTGCTACGTTTCTATGATCCGCAGGGCGGCGCGTGGCCTGGCTTTTGAACCAGCTTTGGACCCGGGGACTCAGGGGCCGAGGGTTCCGAGGGGTTCAAGGGTTGGGATTTCGAGCCATGGACGACCGCATCTCTGTTGGACTTCAGTTCCGGTAGCTTGGGTTGACCACCGAAACCGTCAGATTTCAGAAGTCGGTTGATGTGGAAAGATGCGGGCTAAAGCTGCTACTTTTAGTGGGAAGACGCATAAAATGGACCTGAGTCATGGTGCGAGAAGTTCTGCCAACTTTGTGCTTATTCAGATGACGAGGGGTCGGCATCCAGAAGACGTCGGTGACAGCATTGGCAGGTAGTACGGCGGCGTGGGCTGCTCCAGCTGCTTCTGATTGCTGCTGCTTCTGCTGCTGCTGGTTTCAGCGCACTTTTCTTCATAATGTTTTTTAGAAATTGGCAGCATAGTGAGCACTACATTTGCGAGTCTTCCCTCCACTACTAAGGGGCACCATCAACGAGATCAACATTGACGTTTAATATAAACCTGAGGCCCATGTCTTCGCACCTTGATGCCAGCCGTGAAGCCTTACATCTAAATCGGTCATTTGACAAATCCATTCACTGTCTCGGCCCTTTAAACTGCGAGAGACAACGCTTCTTCAGCCGTCTGCGAAGGCCTCGACCCTACGTCCTGTGGCCTCCCCTCCATATGATCTTGAAGTTACAAGTCGACAAGCTGTGAAGTGCATAATACTTGAAACATCCGCCTAGCCTCCACAGTACGACAGACAGCCAAGAAAACTGCGCAGCCTAAGTCCATCGCTTGAGCCCAGGGTTTTCCTGAATGCCACGGAACTGCAACGCATGCACCTCCTGCAGTACCGCAATAAAGTTGGTGTGGTGTCGCAGGACTGCCCTGCTTTCAAAAGTAAGCTTCAAAGTGCGAGACACAGGAGAAGGCCGTTGAACAAGCCTCCTACTTCGTTTGCTCATATGTCTGTTATGCCATTCACGCAAACGAATCTAGAGGACACACAGCTTTTCCGGATGACGGTGACAGAGAGCCTTGAATGCAGAATAGCTTGCTGTTGAGCTGTGGCTGGTCGGGTGCTTGCAGAATTACGTCGCGTTCCGAAGAGTTTATGTGTGTGTGGGTGTGTGTGCGCGCGCTGTGAGAATCCGTGTTTTGTTACCCGTAGCCCCTCGCAGCAAGTCTGGTCTGCTGGGACTATCCCTGGCCCATTTTGCTGCGCTCTAGGGTTCTTCAAACCACGTTTCTGGCACGAGAGTTCGGATACGCAATGAAACTTCTCTCCGCGAGAGTGGAGTGTTTGCTTAGCTGTTTCTGCACTCTGTCTCTCCGTCTCGCTGTCTCTCTGTCTCTCGGTGTCTCTGTCTCTCTCTCGCTCTCTCTCTCTCTCTCTCTCTCTCTCTCCCTCTCTCTCTCTATATCTCTATCTATTTGCATCTAAGTATCTGTTTATCTCTCTATCTATCTATCTACCTACCTACCTACCTACCTACCTACCTGGGTAGTTCTCTAAATTAGGGTCCCTTTTAGGGTCCTTTCCTTATAACGGTGCCGTACTATATTGGTACTATATTGGGGACCTAAAAAAGGGACCCTAATTTAGAGAAGTACCCACCTACCTACCTACCTACCTACCTACCTACCTACCTATCTATCTATCCATCCATCTATCTATCTATCTAACCAACTTTTGAAATTTATGGGTGGTATATATTGTTCTGCCTTTGTCTATACAACGTTGTATGATATTTTCGACAATTTGCTGAATATCATGTACATCGGTCCATGCATCCATCCGTCCATCCATCCATCCATCCATCCATGCATGCATGCATGCATGCATGCATGCATGCATGCATGCAGGCATCCATTCATTCCTTCATGCATGCATTCATTCATTCATTCATTCATTCATTCATTCATTCATTCATTCATTAGGTATATGAATATGTACATGTAAATGTACATGTATTTGTGTATGTATCTGTATGAATGTGTATGTATGCCTGTATGTGTATGTATATGCGTGCATATGTATACGAATATGTATTTGCATCGGTCTATCAACCCATCCATCAACCCATCTAACTAGCCAGTTAGCTAATTATGTATGTGTCTATCTATCTATCTATCTATCTGTCTATCTACCTACCTGTCTATCTGTCTAGCTATCTATCTACCTACCTATCTATCTATTTATCTATCTACCTAATCCATCTATCTACCTGATCTACCTGATCTATCTATGTACCCATATTTATCTATCTATCTTTTTTGCCCAACCTTTTGCTTTTGGTGCGAGACGAAGCCCCTCGTAAGCCCGGTGGAAGCGTCCGTTGTGCAGAACTACCAGCATTTCTGGTTTGTCGCTTCCTTCAACCCCAAGGCCTGGACCCTACACCAGTGCTACCCATGCAAGTTGATACAAGCGTATTGCACGCCACACTACTGTGGATGAGATTGTCTCATGCTACATGGCACCTTAAACGCTAGTGAGGTCATGGACGTGACAACATGGGTTTATCGCTTGTCTCGGCAACTTTGAAGGAACATCACATATGGTCTCCGAGCGACGGAGTACACCATGGAGGACCCTAGACCCTTCTCGCGATTTCATGTCTGGTTCTTGTGCTTAGGTCGAGGAACATGATCTCGGCCTCCTGTTGCAGCAGTAGACGGGCAAGTTGCTTGCAGGGCTCTTGTTGCTATCATGAAAACAACCTTTCCGTCTCTTCGGTTTGAGTCCCCACCCTGTACTGCACAGATATATAATGCGACAGCGAGCATCTTGAGCACGCAAGAAGCTTCCGGCGCAAGATGCTTCCGGCAGATGCCGAGGGCCGCAGGATCACGGAAAGGCCAGACGATCAACAGACATACAGCGTGGACAGTCTCAGTGCTTTGGGTGTGATGTTCTGGGTGCTCTCGTCTTCGATTTCGGATTTCGGTTGACACGATTGCCAATGCTTGAGCCCTTTTGGAGGATGTGGAGCGAGCAGCCAAGCTTGCAAACGCGGACGAGTTCATCCGGGCACTGCCCGAAGGGCGACTTGCCACCAAGGGCTTTGATTGGCCCACATGTAACGACAGACACTCAACGCAAATGATACGTGTCTCTCAGTTGTCGGTCTGGTGGGTAGGAATTCAGAGTTTAGTTTGCAGATTGTAAGAACAGCCGTGATCACTTTGTCCGTGGCCATTTTGGCGATCAGCCGATCCTGGACTTTCGGATCGTCGGCTCGGGAACAGACTAGATCCAACCAGCCATGTCGTTCCCTCCACCTGGTCCATTCCGCTCGGATCAGCAGCAGGTTCCTCAGTTCGCGCTGCTGAGGAGGTTCCCTCCAGCAGACACTGTTGGACAGTGGGGGTTCTATATTCCGGGGCATGCTCAGCCGCCAGATCAACAGACGCCTCCCCCAGCGGGCTTTGGGGACTGGGGAAGCGGATGGAACCGCCACGATCGCCGCCGGCGGGTGGTGATCGAGCAGCTCCGGCTGCCCACAACCCGTTCACGGTCCAGAAGCTTGACTTCGTGTAGTAGATCGCAACTCCCTACTTGTGATCGACAACACAAACGAGATGCAGCGGTCGAGGTCAGGCACATTGTGACATGTTCGGCCCCTCGGCCCAAACCCAAGGCGAAGCCGGCTGCTGATCCTCAGCCTGCGTCTTTTCCGAGTGTGGAAAGAGCAGATCCCGCTCCGCTCGGTGCTAGGCGGCCCAAGTTCAACCTTCTTCTTCTTCTAGGCAGCCCAAGCCAAACGCTTTCGCTGCCCTTCGCCGCGATGCCGTTTTAACCGATCGAAGTTGCTTCGGGTTCGCTTACAGATCCGATCGAGGATTTTAGTTCCTCGGCGCTTTGTTTTCAGTGCGCGGAGAATGTCTCGTCTGATGTTTTCGTTCGGATCTGTGTGGAACGATCGCCAGCTATCTGGTGCGCACTTCCGGTGATCGGAGCATCCGTTCGGAATGATGAAGATCAGAGATGTTCGAGTTTTGATCTGTGGCCGACTCCTACGTGGCGGTCGCACAAAAGTCTGTGTGCGATCGTTAGCTGTTCAGCGAGTTCTCGAGCGGTGAAAATCGAGTAAATTTGGATATATATATATATGTATATTAATATACAGGTATATGTATGTATATATATATATGTATATATAGATATATATATATGAACATATCTCTCGTTCTCTGTTTCTCTGCCTCTGTCTCGTGCCTGCTACTTGTAGGCTCCCCTCATTGAAGGTAGCCCCTGATTCATGCACCCCACTTTCCGAATCAGGCTTACAACAGGGATCCTAATGTCATGGCGTTGAAATAGGCGCTCACCAGTTAGGGGACTAAATTACGGTTTAGGTACAGCACGATGGTCGGTGAGAGCGGCCACGACTTGAGCGGCGGCCAGAAGCAGCGGCTGAGCATCGCGCGGGCTTTGGTACGCAGGCCCGGAAAGTTCTCGAGCCTTGCAAATGCTGTGGGCGCATTACTGTTTCATGTATGTCTTGTACATAAGAAAGAAAAATATACATACATACATACATACATACATGTATACATATATACATATATATATATACATATATATATACATATATATACATTTATATACATATATATATATACATATATATATATACATACATATATATATATACATATACATATATATATGTATTACAACGATACTGGCACTCTTGGAAGAGACGTGGTGG